GTGATGTTATTTCTATTTCATCCTTAGAGTCAGCCTTCTCCGAGGAAATGGCACATAAACACAGAAAGTCCAATTTATAAAAACAAATTTAATAAATTATTCCTTGAGGAATATAATGGAGAGTCTGTTTTTGTCCGGGCACTGTGAAAGCTGGAATACCTGTAGGGGAGGATGGGGATGAGAAAAAGGCTGATCTTCATGAAATCTTTTCCCTTATTAAACATTCCTGTGTTATTAATTGAAGCTTTGTTTCCTCAGTAATAGAGGCGACCATTATGCATTTGTTGCTGGGTGAATACACTCAATCCCCAGCGAGTTATAGCTTGGTACCATTGTGAAACCCCAGTTATTTACAGTGGATTATTTGTATTGAAGCCAATCCATAGAAGATCTCAATTTTGAAACCTCTTGTCATTATACTTTATTTTCTTTGTTTTAATTTTGTATGTCATTTCTGTTGACCCTTAATGAGAAGTAAATAAATAGACTTTTGACACAAAATTTATATTTTTAAACAACTTTAGACCTAAAGAGCGCAGAAAGAGTTGCTTCGAATACCAGCTGTTTTATAAGCAGTTCACTACATAAAATTATGTAGAAAACTCTTCTTCCAAAGGAAAAAAAAAATCAGTGACTGAATTCTTATTTTGGTAACATTCACAAAGTAATTTCAGAATCATATGGAAAATTTACAGAAAATAGCTTATGAGAACCCACATAAATGAAAACTAAAGCTACAGCAGTGTAATTCTATATACCTTCTTATTCTGGGAAAATTTAAGCATTATTCAATCCTAATAACAGTTGATCTTAAGAACATTAATTCAAGACACCAGAACCCACAGGGAGGAATGGGTGCTCTGCATTTACTGTGGCTCCCCAAAAAGGTCCTTTCTGATGGCAAACAGATGGAAACCCCATAGAGAGGCAGATTTCCGCTGTAGCTATCCCAGGGCCGCACCATGCCTTTGAAATGACATCAGCCAGGAAACCAGTGACTAGAGTTTCAGGTTTCATAGAAGGATTTTGCTTTGCTTTTTGTAGGTCCAAAGATGGCAAGAGGAGGCAATAAATTCTGTCTGAGAACCTCTCCTGGTAGATGTTTAAAGAGATTATATGAGTAAATCAACTGTCCCAATCCCCCCATGTGATATGGACCATCCGGTTTGAATTTGAATTTTTTTCATCTTTCTTCTAGAGAACTGATGTAAGCCAACAACTCAGAATAAGTTGGGCCTGATAGGTGGAATGCCGTGCTGTGGGGATTATCAAAAACTCAAGTATTTATTTTTTATGAAGCTTTTCCTATAACCAGGTTTATGACTGGAAAGGGCCAAGGCTGAAATACATGGATTAGCATTTCTCACTGGAAAAAAGATTAGGTTGCCTCACTTTAACACTTAGGTTTACTCTACGTGAATAAATGCTGCCATTGTTTTCATTTTCATTTTTATTCTTCTATTGTTATTGAGCTTTTACTGAAACAACCTTATATGAATGTGGAGGAAGTTCTAAAATTGAGGAATATATTTTCTGTATGAGTCATGATATGCATTGGTGTTTATCTTGTGGTTCTGCCAACAAACAGTGAGCAAGCCTTGGACTTAGAGCAGCTTTTTGGGGTAGAGCGATTTGATTCTGCATTTACTTCTACGTAAGTGAATGCTCTTCCAAGAATAGCATTACCAATCTCGTGAGTAGCTGCTATAATTTTCAAAAGACTGCATGAACATTTAATACTAATGAAGGCAAGTTTTCAGGCAATGTCTTTACAAAGGTCAACTAACTTTGTCCTATTCACTGGTATCTAAGGATTGATTCTGGGTCTCAAGGATGACTGGATGACTAAAGTGTTGGCACCATGCATAAAAATTCATCACCTCCTGGGTAACACTCAAAATTGTGTGATCTAAGTATGGCCAATGTGGTCGGGGTGCTTTTAGGTACAAGTAACAAAAAAATCTGGCTCAAGCACGTTTAAACAATAAGGTAATTTGTTTTTTCCATTCTATAGGAGAACCAGAGGTAGGTCAGGTTCTAAAGAAGGTAATATAGTGGCTCAAAGATATAATAAAAGACACCAGTTCTCCCCGCCACCCACACCCACCTTAAACTTAGGTTAGTTTCTGTCATGGTCATAAGATGGTGGCAGCAGATTCAGATCAGTCATGCCCAGAAGAAGAGAGTCCTTCTTATATCTTTTTTTTTTTTTTAAAGAAAGCTTTCTCAGCAGCCCTTCAAGAGACTTCTCATGCCTTAGTGAAGATTGGACCACATGTTTATCCTGAAAGTAATCAGGGAAAAGGAGGATTACAACAATGGACTTAGACCAGTGATTTTCAACCTTGGCTGCATTTTGAGAAAAATACTGATACCTGGGTCCCACCTCTAGAGATCCTGGGATGCAGCCTGGGACACAAAGAGTTCTAAAAGCTCCTCAGGTGATTTTAATGTGCAGCAAAGCATTTGAGAACCATAAATTTAGACCAAATATCTAGAGGGTAGAGGTAGGAAATGAATATTGGATTATAAATTACCATAGCCACTACATATTATTGTATTTTCAATGTAAATCTTAAAAGATGTATGTGCATATATAAATGCACACATGGGATTTGGAGTCAGGTTTGGAGGAATCCATATTTATAGGGAGACCAGATGAATGTGGTCCCTATTAGGAAGACAAATTTGGATACATCCAAAGCCATTTATGAGCATGGTTATAATAATGCATATATACAGTGACTTTTGACTTTAGCAAAGTGTAATAAATTAAGAAGTGATGACAGTAAAGGATACTTATGAGTCTTTGAAGAAAAAAAGTATGAGAATACTCTTAAATTCTGGAAACCCTCTTTAAAAAAGTTTCCACTGTCAAAGAGCTTCTAGATAACTTCAGTATTTTTCACATTCCCTCTATGAAAGCCAAAGATTTCTTAAGAATTCTTGAATGCATGATATTAAATTTAAAAAAAGGGGGGCGCCTGGGTGGCTCAGTTGGTTAAGCAGCTGCCTTTGGTGCAGGTCATGATCCTGGGGTCCTGGGATCGAGTCCCTGCAAAGAGTTCCCTGCTCCGCAGGAAGTCTGCTTCTCCCTCTGCTCCTCCCCCTTGCTCATGCTTTTGGTCTCTCTCTCAAATAAATAAAATCTTTTAAATTAAAAAAAAAAAGATTTCAGGGTGCAGTTGGTTAGGCTTCTGACTCTTGGTTTCAGCTCAGGTCCTGATTGCAGGGTCATGAGATCAAGCCCCAAGTTGGGCTCCAGGCTAAGGGCAGAGTCTGCTAAAGTTTCTCTCTCCCTCTCCTTCTGCCCCTTCCTGCCTCATGAGATCTCTGAAATAAATAAATAAATCTTTAAAAAAATAAAACAAGAATAAAAAAATATTTCACTATAACATGGATGGATCTAGAGGGTATAATGCTAAGTGAAATAAGTCAGTCAGAGAAAGACAAATACCATATAATTTCACTCATATTGGAATTTAAGAAACAAAACAAATGAACAAAGAAAAAAAAGAGACTTAAAAAAACTAAACAAACCCAAACTCTTAAATACAGAGAACAAATGGATGGTTGCCAGAGGGAAGGAGGGTAGGGGATGGATGAAATAGATGAAGGGGATTAAGAGTATACTTCTCATAATGAGCACCGAGTAATGTATGGAATTGTTGAATCACTATATTGTACACCTGAAACTAATATAACACTGTATGTTATACATTGGAATTAAAAAAAAATAAATACAAAAAAGGTTTCACTAGTTTAAAAGCTATACAAGTACCCCAGACAGAATGCCTTCAAAAAATTCAGATGCCCTGACTTTTTCCAATTATCCATTTTTTTATCATTTCTTTAGGCTGGATATCCAGGTCATTTTATTCTCATATAGACTGTGCCCCACCCCACGCCACCCCCATGGTGGCCAGCATGCAGCATCACGTGGTCACTGTTATATTTGCACATACAGAACAGTGCTTCTCCACCTTGGCTACACATTAGAATCATCTGGGCGGACTTTTTAAAGACTGACCCCTCCCTCCCACTGCCATCCCCATAAGTTGAAACCAAATCTTCAGGGGTTAGGGCCTAGGCGTCTCTATTTTTGAATAGTTTACTGGCTGATTCTGACACAGAGTGAGGACTGAGAGGTATTAGTACAAAGAGAGAAAAGGAGGTAGATAACAGGGACATAATCTGTTCTCTCGTTCTTAGCTTGCTTTTAATTTTTCCTCCCCCAGATCGAAGCTAATCTGAGTAAGCAATCTTGTGGGAGAGTGTGAGTAAGCCCTTAAGGTCTTGGGTCAAATGGGTTTTGCAAGTAAAGGTAAAGCTTTATGGAGCCTCAGAAGTCTCTGGTAACACTCTGTAAATACCTGTGGAAGCAGCCGGCCCTCTACTGTGATTTCTGAGTAAGTACGTCATACGTAGCCCTTTGCACTTGAGGTGCAGAGTAGCCTCCTGACAGCTGTTTTTGCTGTGGTTGGTGGCTGGAGACCATAATGGAGAGAAGACAATCACTAACCTGAAGAAGGGTCGTAAAGAGTGATTTTTTTTTTAAAGAGCTGATGAAACAACAGGTGGGTCAATAATCTTTGTGCCCAACCCAGATTGTACCACAGCTAAATCTACGCCCGCTGCAAACAACATGTGCTGCACACTCGAGTCCCCTCCAGCACATTCTGGAAACTAGAATATAATTTAGGCTGGCGCAGGAATATGTTCGCTGAGTGTACTTTGGGGAAAGCTTATTACACCACTAATGAAATAATCAGCAGCAACACTAGTAGTGAAAGTCATAGCTCTGGAAAAAGAAACACTTGGCATTGATAGCGTGTCAGAATAATTTGGAAAAAAAAAAACAAAAAAACCTAAGAGGTGGACGGTGGTGAAGTAGAAAGAGCACTGGATCGGAGCTAGTAGTCCTGGGTTCTGATCCTGGCTTTGCCACTGTTTGGCTCTGTGATTTGGGCAAGTCCTAGTATTCTCTGTGAGCCTCAGTTTTAGGATTTAAGAGATGAGCTAGTCCAAGCCCTGGACTCACTGTTGCAGATGCATTCCACATTTTTATCATAATACCCAATCTGTAATTTAAAAAATCTATTAAGTCATATCTACAAATGTCACAGAAGAATCCATTTATGATTTTCCATTTTAGATTCCACATGATTATTTCTAGAATAATTTTACAGTTTTGCCAACCATTTCATTATCGATCTTCCATCCACTGTCAGAAAAATAGTCTCTTTAGTTTCTGAAAAGGACTAATAACTACTTGCAGCATCTTGGTCAAATCATGCATAGCTCACCTTTGTTCTTTGGCACATTGTCAAAACACTTTAAATGTAATGAATCAGTACAAGAACAAAAGACCAGTACACAAAAATGCTGTATTAACTATAGAAAAAGTTTTACCTTTCTAGTAGATACACGGAACATGGATATGTGGTATTGCCCTTGTAATAGGATCTTTTTTTGGAAAACTGTTATGATTCAATTCCTGAAGCTTTCTTTTGCTTTACAATATTAGGGTGTGATCATCTCTTGCTCTAAATATAGCATTTCCTGACTCAACAATGGACTAAACCTTTTATTCCCCAGAGTGTATATTCTTCTTTCCATATCCGAAGTGCATAAACTCTAGGGCATGGCTTTGTCAAATTTGGACTAATTAGGACCAAGAGGTTGAGTCTTCACAGAATAGCTTCTGACCTTATGCAGCAGAGACAGAAACACAAACCAGCCGGTAGTTTCCTGGTGAATCTTGACAAGCTCTTCAAGACTCTGTGGACACTTTGTAGACATACTTTTTACAGCAGTTGCCATGAGTGCTGGTAAAACCTTTAGTAATGTGTCTTTTATCTTAAGCATTTGCCTCTGTACTAAAATAACTGGAAACATAATAATAGCAATAAATGCTTTCTCACGAACCTTATTAAGGTCCTGTTTGCACAGTACAGTTTTGGCCATTTGTTATTTTGAACTGAGAGATCCAGTCAATGGTAATGATGTGTTTAATTTCACAAATGTGCAAATTTCACTTTCAAACAAGGACTCGGACTCAGTTTACATGTCCACCTAATAATATTTACAATCAAGTTACCAGCAAGTCCTGCTTAAACTAACAAATGCCTATCTTTCATTCTAGAAATGTACACAGAACTCTCTATTTTCTGAACATTTTTCCCTATGAGGGCAATTCCTTTTCTAATATAAACACATTATGATGTTGTAGACAGGATTTCAATATGTGATAGGTCAATCTTGGCCCAAATCCAAGGGAGCTGATTTTATTAAACCACCAAAAGAACCCCGATTTCTTGTGGACTCAAGTGTAAAGCAATCACCTTGTAAAGACTCACTCTCCCCCCTCCCCAAGGGGAATATTAAAACAAGACCACACTATACCTATGATTAATTAATTAATTACCTCTGGCCAATGCCTGGCTCTATTTTTCAATATAAAATGATTATGGCTACAGAAAAGTCTCCTCTAGAGTTAAGAGTATATTTAATTCCCATTGTCACAGAACATTAAAAAAAATATATTGTACTCTTTAAAATTTCAGTCACTGTTTTTCTATTGAGGTCGAAGAGAAAAAGATAAGGATTACTGCAAATATACAAAGAAAGCTCACTGTATTCTGCAAATTATATAGATCCAGTGCTTTTGGTTAGGTCCTCTTAAAATTTCTCTGGCTTTACCAATTTGAGAGTCACTTTTTATTGATAAGTGTTATCTCAATTTGCAAAAATGCATGGTTAAATGGTTTCTAAAGTCCCTGTGATAATCACAGTGCTACTTACCTGACACTTACTGCTAAAAGGTTGGTATGCATCTTTTATACCTGCTTGTGGTTTCAACTGCCAGTTATCAGAGAAGTGTCCTTATAATTGACAAAAGGGAGAAAAATAAAAGATAAAAAAGAGAAAGAAAAGGAGGGCAGTAAGGCAGATAGATTTTTCATTTCTTATCTTGTGATACATTCTGTAACAGTAAACACTACTCTCTCTTAAATAGACCCTTTGAAGGCAGAAAAAGAAAACACTCCAAGAGAAAGCTTTATAAACTGGAGATTGTCTTCCTGTTCATCGTGGCTTTGTCCTTTTGGAAAGTCTGCATGACCTCTCCTCCTTGTATTAAATAAGACAAGGGTGCAAGGACTGATGATTCGATTTGGTGAGTTAGTTACAGAAGTAGCTCTGGCATCTGTTATTTCCATTCTGTTATCCAGTACTTCTGTTCTGTTAATGGCAGCAGACATTTGATTAAACTGCTGAGATTTGGACCTGAAGGGGATCCAAGGTGGGTCGTGAAGTAAATCACATAGCTACATCTCTGCTTCATCTTCACCTCACCTGTTCCTCTATTTCCAGACTTCTGGCAGACTGGCCGCTGGAGGCCTTCACCTTGGGCAGGAGGAGCTCTAATTATTTCAAGAATAATTGATTTAAAAACGCATATTATAATATCCTGTTACTAGAACTCCTGCAGTATATATCATTTACGTATCATTTGTGGTATAACATTTTTTGGAGGAATTAAAAGCAAATTTCCCCTTCCCCACCAAATAGATAAATTAGTGGATAAAACTAAAAGGGTAAGAGAATTAAATAATTTCTAAGTATTTACAAAATTCTTAATTTTTGCACAACCCATAGCTGAGAACAAGGACTGCCTTTTATACTTTCATAGAGTCATAAGAAAAAGCTCCAAGTAGAAAAAGGCAAAAATCCTTATTTCTTTGTAGTAATCAATATGTTGTAGCATCCAACAAAAAGTGACAACAGACATTTATCTATTGGGTTAACATTTACCGTAAGCCCAAATACCAGAAAACATTCATTTGAAATGTAATTATATATTTTGTTTCCTGACTGATTTGTTTAAATAGCCAGGTCATAAAAGCAGTCAACTTTCTACAGTATGGTTGTACAGAATCAGATGTAACAGCCAGAAGTAATTGTAAAAAGCATCTAGCAGTTCAAATGATGTGGGACCTCAAGGGGTAAATGAATTTCTGAAGGTAAAAGTTGACTGTGGATGGTCTGGAACTCATACCTTAGTATTTTCATTGTCAGTTCAGTGCTTACTTTTCCCTATGCTGCACACATTAGAAAGCTTTTACATTTGATTATTTGTCACTATTCACGAGGAGGCACAATCAATCCTGGAAAACCAAAAATGGAAAACTAGGGGAAGGATTCTATAAAACAAGATAAACCAATAAACCACATTATGGAAGAAAAATTAAGCCACAGGGGCGCCTGGGTGGCTCAGTTGGTTAAGCGACTGCCTTCGGCTCAGGTCATGATCCTGGAGTCCTGGGATCGAGTCCCACATTGGGCTCCCTGCTCAGCAGGGAGTCTGCTCCTCCCTCTGACCCTCCCCCCTCTCATGCTCTCTCTATCTCAGTCTCTCTCTCAAATAAATAAATAAAATCTTTAAAAAAAGAAAAATTAAGCCACAGACCAAACCTCATAACCTGAAAAGAGTCAAAAAAATAATTCTCATTCATTTAGTACTTGTACTTCTACAAGAGCTTAGGCCAAGGTCCAAACTTGACTCAGTTGAGACCCAGAGGCTACAGGACTAAAAAAATGGAGTGGAGGTATACAGTTAAGCTCAGAATTGGTCTTATTGGACAGCAAAGTCTATCCCGGGATGGCACAGTGGACGGGTCTTGATTGCTGATTGAAGAAAGGTCCAGCCACGGGCTAGCAATCATTTACATGGTGGTCACCAGAGGAATGTAAACATACCCACTCTAACAGTTCTTTGGTTTATGCCACATCCTTTCCTACAGCCTAAAATTAGGATATAAACTATGGAGGGTAACTGGCTTATGTAAAGATGTCACTCTAGCAAGTGTTGCTTGAGGGCAAAACCTGGTGACTTCTGGCAGAGAGAATACCAAAGTGAGCTACCTCATACTGAGTGCTCCTTACTCAATTAAATGGAAAGATTCCTCAAACAGAATATTTGTTATTATAATTTTAAATGGTCTAGGCTCAATATGTAGCATGTAAAGATGCCAAAGATAAATACAGATAGAGGACAAATATAAATAACAGAGCCATTCTGATAAATGCCATTATCAGACATAACTATATATTCCATCCTATAATCTCATAAATCAAAGCTTTTTATTATTATGTTATGTTAATCACCATACATTACATCATTAGTTTCTGATGTAGTGTTCCATGATTCATTATTTGTGTATAACACCCAGTGCT